CAGCAGATATCACTTCTCTTAATGCAGATGAAAGGTCTAGCGCTGGCACAGTTGCTGTTGGACCAGCCGGCTGAAAGATAAAAACAGGAAGAAGCATTAAAACCCAATATTTTTCAAAATCAAATCCTTAATTAAAACAGAAGTAACAGTGTCATATGGACACCTACCTCTGCCGTTCAGGTAGACGCATGGATAAGAGGTAACGCTCAGCTGTGAGTTCCAGTTCTGGTAGCTGTAGGTGCTCTGATCCAACCATCTCCAGCCCTGAAAACACGCAGTTTAAAGGTCAGCATTTTAGCCTGTGTTCCTAAGTTGGTTCATTTTTATTCAGTTATGAAGCAGTTACCTGGAAGTAGAAACCTCCAATCCAGCAGGTGGACTGTCCTGCTTTCAATGTCAAATCCTGCAGGAAACTGTACTCAAACAGATCGTGGACAGAAGGTAAAGAGGCTCCGAAACTGTTGCAGTAGGACTGAAAACAGACAAATGAACAAATGAATGAGGGAATAGGTGAAGTGTGTCTGTGTGGGTTGTTTTTTTTTTTGTTTTTTTTTTTTGTTTTGTCAAATGAAGAGGCCAATTTACCGCAGCACTGGTCCAGGTTCTGGTGGAAGACACAAACTGGTAGCAGCCATTCTTGTATCTGTTCCATCCAGTAGGACAAGTATAGAAACGAGCTGAAGATTTGAGAAATGAGACGTGAGTTAGTTTGTTTTAACCACGTGTTAAAGATTAATACTTTAACAGTCAGTATGTCAAAATAACAGACCTTCAGGTGCGAGATTCATCTCCTCAACAAAAACTCCTGGCTCTTCCACTGAAGAAAAAAAAAAGTACAGAACAAAGTTTGTGATTCACTAAAGTAAAAACTGAATACAAATCTAAGAAAACAAATGTATTAGTATTGTTTACCTTCAGGTTCCATAGGGTCTACCTCTTCTACTGCAACATAAAAAAAAAAGTATTTTAGCGACTGTGAGCCATTTAATTCAGATCAAATATATAGACAAGTATAGTGTTGTCAGTGTAAAAGTTAGTTTCTGTACAACTCACCCAGTTTTTCCTCTCCAACCTCCACTGGAGCTGGTTCTGCTTCAACAGGAACTAAAAGAGAAATTATTGTTTTTTAATTAAAAATAAATTGTCTAAAGGCTAGCAGAAAATGGCTAAAACATTGTTAAGCCTAAAATATGATATTAATCGAGGTTCATGATAAAAACATTTGCTCTCAGGTGCAAAACATCAACATTTTCTCAGTGGGATTTTCTACATGCAGCTACAAAAGAGAAAAAGAAAGAGATGTGTGAAAAGTGAGTCTGACCTGCTGCTGCCATAATGGAGAGAACAACACTGAACAAAACAGTGAGGAGCAAGATGGTCTTCATGATGAAGATGGTGAGGAGGACGAAGTGATGATGAAGAAACTCAACGTCTGGTCTGGTGAGAGACGGAGGTGATTAAAATGAGTTAAAGTGTTAGAAAAAAAATTGAAGATAATAGAAATGAAAGCAGAGGTTTGAGCAGCAGTGTTACCTGTCAGGTCGACTGTATGTAAGCTGAGGTTGTTCAGGGATCAGCTGACGCTCCACTGATGATGATGAAGATTAGTATGATGTTGGTGAGGCTGCTCTGCTCTTTATATACACAGCTGAGACCAGGGCAGCACGTTATCAAACACACTTAGCCCTAAAACTTTGTTGTTCATTTACCCTGTTCACAAAAAGTCAACATTAATAATTAAACGGTGATATCGAACATACTGACATGACTGATGGTGTCACAACAGAGATAAACACACGTTTACTGTAAGTGCCGATTCAAAACGTGATCAACAATGATAACAGTAGAAATGATAAAACCACAGAAAAGCAAGAACGAAAGACAAGAGATACTCGAATTACCCTTCACATTTTTTTGTTTCCAAGAGATACTCGAATTACCCTTCACATGTTTCTGTGTTTTTTTGATTCATCCCTATGCTGATGATCTGATATTTCCTTTAAACCTTTACAAGATCTCTGCCTGTGAGGTGACCAAATACATTAGTCATGACATTCCGATGTCATTTATAAAAACTTGCTGAAGGTGAAGGTTTTACACAGTGATCTCAAACCCATGGCCCAGGGGCCCCTTTCAGCCCGGGGACGTCTCTTATCTGGCCCATTACTAAATATCAATTGCCTTTGCCTTTAATTTAACCTTATGATTAAATTGCCTTTTTTATTGAAAAAAAAAAATTTTTTATCAGCTATTTACTCTATAGTTTTATATGTTTCTTTTCTGTTATTTATAAATAAGATATTTAAAAAATTATACTTATTTATTATTTTATTATTAGTATAGTGCATAAACTAACAAAAACTTATAGTTTTATAGTAAGTAATATCAGAAATTCACACATTAGTCACTTTATTACTGAATCATTCTGTATATTCCATTTTGTTAATAAAAAAAAAAACTGAGCAAGATTTGTATTTGTTTGTGTTTTTTAGAGTGTGTCCTTGAAGAGAAAAAACGTGGACCAATACGATAGGAATAAGAAAGCAATGCTATGACTGGTACAGGTTCATGAGTGTTTCCAGAAAGTCATTAAACAATACCTTGATTAGTCCTATTACCAAACAGTATCTCTAATGACTTTGGTCAGTGAAAATACTGAAAGTATGCTTAATATTTAACATACAGTTTATTTTGCTACAAAATTAGTTTGGAAGAATCTCAACAGAAGATACTATAAAAGAGTGTAATTTTCAATAAATTAAAAGAATAATAAAAATAAATCCACCTATTTCTAACCTGTCAGTAGTAAGAAATATGGCATGAAGACCAAAGGTTTGTGACGACTTCATTTCGGTAAGTCATAAAAGTGTGGACCTTATCAAAATGACACGTTGTTTGTTGAAAACACACCTGCACTTCAAGACACTCGGTGAACTGTGCGTGTGTGTATAACTGTATTTATTGTGGGACACTTTCTGTAAATGTGTTACTGAGCCACATAAATCAAAAATTGTTTGAGTGTTTGTTTTTTGTCTGTTTCTAGTGTGGGTATCGTTTGTCCTGAATTTTTGAATGCAGCTAAGTTTTACAAGTGTTTTTGAACGCATCGCGACTATTCCAGCAAACGTTTTTTTCTCCATCTTCGAATGGCTAAAATTTTGTGTGTTTTTCTTTCCCTTTTCGCGTCGTTAATTCGTGTTTTCTCTGCTGTACTTCAACGTAAAAAGGTGAAGTTGTATTGTGGCCTATAATTAGTATTTGAGTTTGTTCTGCCAATGCTAAGCTAACACACACGCCAAGTAAAGTCTGGGTCACATTTAACATATTAACATATATATATATTGTTAGCAAAACGCGTACTATTTTAGGCCAACAACTTGAGTTATTGGCTTCTGGATATTTAATAGAATATTTACTTGTCTATTTTATAATACGTCTTTGAATTAGCTGAAAAGTTAACCATAAATTGTTATCAATTTCTCAGTTTCAACGTTTCAGACATGTTTATGTAAAAGAAAAAGCTACATTTTAGCTTCTTCCACTTACAACATTACCTATATTTAACTTAAGCAGAGTTTGAAAAACTACTAGAAAATTTAATGCAGTAAAAGTATCTTTACTTTGATAAAAGTCCCCATCTAAACTTTTACTGAAGTAAAACTAAAATAAAAAAATACTTAATTTAAAATTGACAGAGATACTTCCTAACTTCATACAAAAGTCATACAAAAAAATACTTAATTTAAAATTTACTTTGCCTAAAAGATACTTCCTAACTTCATACAAAGGTCATACACCCAAGCCGCAGCTAGTTGTTTATTGTTTAGTGTTATGGTAGTACCAACAGGAGTTTGGTTGTGATGAAAATCACAAAAAATACACATATTACAAATAGAAATTAACTTCAATTCATGAGGTGACAAAATAAACAGATGAATCATGGATCTTCTACCACAAGACCTGTTTTTATTGTCTGTTTCTCTATCTGAGGTGATGTCACCCTCAGAGAACTGGAATCTGTTTCTGCATTTTACAGGTTTTTTTTATTATTATTCAGTCTCACAGAGTAGTAGGTTTTAACCCAAAAAAAATATATATAATCCTGACACCAGATAATCCGCTTATTTATTAACCTCCATAATAGTTCAAGTAGCAGTCCAAAAATTAAGAGTATTTTTTTATTTTGCATGTTATTTGGTGATATTGTCTTCATGAAGGTTGTCTGATAAAACCAATTGCATGATTCCTCCGAACAATATTAAAAAAAACTTCCAAGACATCAAGTATATTTAATTTTCTTTATTCAAGTAATGTTTTTTCCCCGTCTAAATTAAAAGAGAAAAACTCCATGATATACAGTTTTAAAAAGTGATTGAACAAAGTAACATTATACAAAGCAACAAAACAAAGGTACAACACAATCTCAAACTAATGTTTGTTGTGTTTTTTTTAATGTCCATTTTCAGCACGCTTATGTGGACTTTTTGACTTGTTTTGATGACAAAGCTGTTACTTATATTCAGCAACTTCTCTTTTGGCAGATAAATGGTCTCGCTATGCTGCACCTGCTGTTGGACCAGCCCCCTAAAAGATAGAAACAAAAATAAGCGTTAAAAACCATAGAATTATATACTGCAAGTACATTTTTTAGTTACGGTGTCAGATGAAGACTCACTGCCGGTGTTCAGGTAGACGCATGGATTATAGGTAACACTCAGCTGTGAGTACCAGTTCTGGTAGCTGAAGAGGCTCCCATCCAACCATCTCCAGCCCTGAAAACACACAAGTCACAGTTTAAAAGTCAACACTTCATCTATTGTTCCTAAATTGGTTTATCTATTTTGACCAATATTTCTGTTTCTTTTCTGTTTTCAGTGATGATGCAGTTACCCGGTAGTAGGAACCTCCAATCCAGGAGGTGTAGTATCCTTCACTCCTGGTCCAATGCTGCAGTAATCTGTACTCAGATGGACTACGGATAGAAGTTAAAGAAGCTCCCAAACGTTTACAGAAGGTCTAAAAACAGACAAATGAACACATTAATGAGGGAATAAGGTGAAGTGGGGTTTTTTTTTTCTATAGCTGTCAGTTTGTCAGATGAAGAGGCCAATTTACCACAGCAGCGTCCCAGTTTCTGCTGGGTGTCACGAACAGGTAGCAGCCTGAGCTGTATCTGTTCCATCCAGCAGGATGAGATTGGAGACCACCTAAATATTTGAGAAATGAGATGTGAGTTAGTTTTGTTTTAATCACACTATTAACACTAATATTTTACAGTCAGTATGCACTGTATGTACTTATACTGACTTTAAGTCGGTTTATCAAAATAACCGACCTTCAGGTGAGAGTTCCATCTCCTCTTCAACAACTTTTGGCTCTTCCGCTGAAGAAAATTGAAATAACAAATACGTTCAGAACAAAGTTTATGGTAGTTTAGCTACAGTGTGAGTCATTCAATTCAGATCAAACATCCAGACAAGCATAGTGTTCTCTGTGTAAAAGTTAGTGTCTTAGTTTCTGTACAACTCACCCAGTTTTTCCTCTCCAGCCTCAGTTGGAGCTGGTTCTGCTTCAACAGGAACTAAAAGAGAAATTATTGTTGTTAAATTAAAAATAAAATAGCCTTAATTGTCTAAAGGTTAGCAGAAGATAGCTAAAAACAAAGTCAAGCTTAAAATCAGCCCAGATATTGATGGATGTTCATGATAAATATCCAGAGGACAAATATTGAAATGTAATTGTACTTGAAAACAGTAATAAAGAAGAATAGCCATAGATTGTTATGCATACAGACTAGTTTGTTTTAATCACGTGTTGTGGACTAAGATTCATACTTTATTGTCATTATATTAAGGTAACAGATCTCTAGGTGGGAGATTTATCTCCTCAACAAAAACTTCTGGCTCTTCCACTGAAGAAAATTAACATAACAATTAGGTACGAAACAAAGTTGATGATTTACTGAAGTAAAACTTAATAAAAATGTACGAAGGATAATGTAGATTATTTTATTACCTTCAGGTTGAACAGGCTCTACCTCTGCAACATAAAAGTAATGTAGTTTAGCTACATTATTAAATTCAGATCAAACGTACAGAAGAGTATAGTGTTGTCAGTGTAAAAGTTAGTGTCTTAGTTTCTGTAAATCTCACCCTTTTTTTCCTCTCCAACCTTTACTGGAGCTGGTTCTGCCTCAACAGGAACTAAAAGAGAAATTATTGTTGTTAAATTAAAATAAAAACGCCTAAATTGTATAAAGGTTAGCAGAAAGTGGCTAAAAACAATGTTTAGCTTAAAATCAGCCCAGATATTGATAGATGTTCATGATGAATAGCCTTTGTATTTGAAAACAATACAATTGTATTCAGGAGAGAATATTCATAGATTCTTATACAGACAGACCATATGTTAATTTTTCTTCTTTTCTTTTTTTTTTGCTCTCAGGTGCAAAACAACATCATTTTCTCAGTGGGATTTTCTACATGCAGCTACAAAAGAGAAAAAGAAAAGGATGTGTGAAAAGTGAGTCTGCCCTGCTGCTGCCATAATGGATTGAACAACACTGAACAAAACAGAGAGGAGCAAGATGGTCTTCATGCTGAAGATGGTGAGGAGGACGAAGTGATGATGAAGAGACTCAACGTCTGGTCTGGTGAGAGTCAGAGGTGATTAAAATGAGTTATAAAAAAGTAAATATGATGGAAATGAAAGCAGAGGTTGAGCAGCAGTGTTACCTGTCAGGTCGACTGTATGTAAGCTGATGATGATGATGAAGATTAGTATGATGTTGGTGAGGCTGCTGTGCTCTTTATATACACAGCTGAGACGAAACAGAAAACAAACACACTAACTAACTAACCCTAAAACTTCGTTGTTCATTAACCCTATTTACGTTGTCATAACAAAGATAAAAAAAGTGATGACAAAAGATGTCAGCACTTTCAACGAAAGTAAAATCAACAAGTGCTAAACGCTTGCAGGTGCTTTTGTTTACATTCGTCTCTATGCTGACGATGTGTTACTTTTTCCCTCAAACTTTTACAAGCTCTCTGCCTGTGATGGGACCAAATCTATTCATCTGACAATTTTTGAAATCATTAATTTGACTTTCATTTGTGATAGTTGTTAAATAAGATACACATTTATACTTGTAACTGCCTTATACTGTTGTTAACTGTTGTTAAGTTTGAAGACACTTAAATTGTAAAAGATGGTCAAGGTAACAACCGTCATAAATTTCAAAGTTATCTTATCTAAAAGTCCATCGTTTTTGGAGCGACTGTACCTTTAACTACCAAACAGATAAACCATATAAAACAAAGAAACAAAAAAATAGTCCAAAATATGGTTTCATTTTAGTTAAAACAAACAGGAACAAAATTTAGTTGAAAAAAACAAAAAAAAAAAAACAAATTATATTTGTATATTCTGCATATAGTGCATTGACCTTCACCCTTTTTTTTTTACTTCATCCGGTCTCACAGAGTCGATTTTAACCCAAATCTTTGTTTGATGCTCCTCTAGTCCTTCATCTATATATAATCCTGACACCAGATAATCTTCTGATTTATCAACCTCCATAATAGTTCAAGTAGCAGTCCAAAAATCAAAGTACCATATTTTTCGGACTATAAGACACACTTAGTATCCTTAATTTTCCCAAAAATCAACAGTGTTCCTTATAATCCTGTGCGCCTTATGTAATAATTCTAGTTGTGCTTACTGACCTCGAACCGATTTTATAAAGCCAAACTACACTACGCATCACACATGACGACGGATGTCACAATTAGAAAATGCTCAACAACAATTATTACAGTACAGTTGTGTAATCCAAATCTGTGCAATGGCGCCTCATGCCTCCCAACACCCGGAGACTCTACCTCATGTTTTTGTTTTGTCGATGTATTGTGCGATGCAACAGCGCCCTCCTGTGTCCAACTTAGGTCACTACCCTTTTCCACAAATCCATATCCCTATTGATCTGCGGCTCCATGCACGCCCATCTCACCGATATTGTCAAAACCCAAGTGAAGCAAACTAATTCGGGGCTTGCCATCATTCCGGGCGGATTAATCAAAGAATTCCAACCGCTAAATATTGGTGTTAACAGGGCGTTTAAAGTTAAATTGCGAGCTGCGTGGGAGCATTGGGTGACAGAACACACATTCAACAAGACAGGGTGGCAACGCCGGGCGAATTACGCCACTATCTGCTTATGGATCGTAGATACCTGGGTTAAGGCATCAGTCTCAAATGTCGAATCATCATTGAACAACTAATGAACAGCAACGAGACTGACTCGGATATTGACTAGAGGGATCTGGGCATGCTTAATTGTTTCGCTGACTGTTTTGTTCCGCTTAATGCGTCTTATAATCTGGTGCGCCTTATGGTCCGAAAAATACAGTATTATATTTTTTTTCTTCATGAAGATTGTCTGATTAAAAAATTGCATAATTCCTCCGAACAATATTAGAAAAAGCTTCCAAGACATCAAGTATTTTGGATTTTTTTATTTATTCAATGTTTTTGTCCTTCTTTTTAATATGAATTTGCAACATGCAAATGTGAACAGGGTGTCAATAACACAGCTGTTACTTATGTTCAGCAGCTTCTCTTCATGCAGATAAATGGTCTGAATTTGTAGCACCTGCTGTTGGACCAGCCCTCTGGAAGATAGAAACAAAAATAAACATTTTACATACTGCATATACGTTTTTTAGTTACGGTGTCAGATAGAGATAAACTCACTCTCGGCGTTGAGGTACATGCATCTATAATATGTAAAACTCAGCTTTGAATCCCAGTTCTCGTAGCTGAAGGGGCTTTTATCCACCCAATTCCAGCCCTGAAAACACACAGTTTAAAAGTCAGCATTTTAACTTGTGTTCCTGGGATGGTTCCTTTATTATCACCAATATTTCTGTTTGTCCTGAGTTTCCACCTGGGCTCTACACCACATGTTTTTTTTTCAGTGATGATGCAGTTACCTCGAAGTAGTAACCTCCGATCCAGGAAGTGGAGTGTCCTTCACTCTCGGTCACACTCTGAAAGAAACTGTATTCAGATGCACTACGGATAGAAGGTAAAGAAGCTCCCAAACGCTTGCAGTAGTGCTGAAAACAGACAAGTGAGCAAATTAATGACAAAATAAGGTGAAGTGTGTGTTTTTTTTTTCTGCAGATGTCAGTTTGTCAGATGAAGAGGCCAATTTACCGCAGCGCTGTACCAGGTTCTGCTGTAAGACCCAAACCGGTAGCAGCTGTTATTGTATCTCTTCCACTCAGTAGAAGTAGGATATGAACCACCTGAGGATATGGAAAACAAGACGTCACACTACATGTGATTAAAACAATTACACTTCTAAGACTAATATAACGGACCCTCAGGTAAGAGACCCATCTCCTCTTCAACTTCTGGCTCTTCCACTGAAGAAAAATCAAATAACGAATAAGTTCAGAACAAAGTTTATGGTTCACTAAAGTCAAACTTAATTTAAAAAAAAAAAAAAAGAATCTCAAGTATTTTTTTACTTTCAGGTTCCACAGGTTCTGCCTCTTCTACTGCAACATAAAAATAATGAAGTTTAGCTACAGTATGAGCCATTATAGTCAGATCAAACACACAGATGAGAATAGTGTTCTCTGTGTAAAGGTTAGTGTCTTCGTTTTTCTCAAATTTTTGGGTTTTATTTAATTAAACATAAAAACACAAATTGTCTAAAGGTTAGCAGAAAATGGCTAAAACAAAGTCTTTAAATCAGCCCAGATATTTATAGAGGTTTATGACCAATAGCAATAGTAAAAATATTGAAATGTAATTGTACTAGAAAACAATAAAGAAGAGAATATCCATAGATTATTGTTAACTCATTGTTATGCATACAGACTAGTTTAATCACGTGTTGTGGACTAAGATTTATACTTTATTGTCATTATATTAAGATAACAGACCTCCAGGTGGGAGATTCATCTCCTCAACAAAAACTTCTGGCTCTTCCACTGAAAAAAATAAAAAATAACAGTTAGGTACGAAACAAAGTTGATGATTCACTAAAGTAAAACTTGTAAAAATGTACAAATGATAATGTAGATTATTTTGTTTTTATATGAACAGGCTCAACCTCTGCAACATAAAAATGATGTAGTTTAGCTACATTGTGACTCAGTAATAGTTAGTGTCTTAGTTTCTGTACAACTCACCCAGTTTTTCCTCTCCAACCTCCACTGGAGCTGGTTCTGCTTCAACAGGAACTAAAAGAGAAATTACTGTTGTTAAATTAAACCTAACAACACCTAAATTGTCTGAATGTTAACAGAAAATGGATAGAACAAAGTCAAGCTTAAAATCAGCCCAGATATTGATAGCTGCTCATGATGAATAGCCATTGTATTTGAAAACAATACAATACAATTGTATTCAGGAGAGAACATTCATAGATTCATATACAGACAGACCATATGTTAATTTATCTCCG